CAGCTACGATGTTATTCGTACCGGTTATATGTCTTATATTTGTAGTGAACTCACTTATGAAAGCTAAATGTCTCGTTCTCCGAGGCGTTTCGCTTTCATCGCGTCCTACCTTTTGAAATGCAAAAGTTAAAGGTTTATGGTCCGTATACACGGTTATTTCTTGCCCTTCAAATAATTTCCGAAAATGTTTTATAGCTAAGTATATAGCGAGCAACTCGCGATCGTATGTGCTATATCGCTGTTGGGTGGTGGTCAATTTTTTTGAGAAATAGCCCAATGGTTTCCAGCTATCTCCTTCCTTTTGTTGCAAGACTGCTCCCACGCATGTATTAGATGCATCAGTCATTAAAGCGAGTGCGGAACCCACTCTAGGGTACGTCAATGTAGCGGCCTGTGTGAGACCTGCCTTACATTGCGTAAATGCTTCGTTCGCACTATCCGTCCAGACGATGGGAGTCTTATCATTTTTCTTTGAGCTTTTAAGATATTTATTTAATTCTGTTAGATATAAAGTTGCGTTGGGAAGATGAGCTCGATAAAAATTGACCATACCGAGAAAACGTCTTAGTTCTGCGACAGTTTTCGGCTTCGAAAATTCCACAATTGCCTGAACCTTATCTTGCAACGGCCTGACGCCGTCGGTACTAATCTCGTGTCCTAAAAATTCTAGTTTAGTTTGTCCGAAACGACATTTTGCCAAATTAATTGAAATTCCATATTTATTAAGCCTTTTAAAAATAATTTCTAAATGTTGCCTGTGTTGAACTTCGTTGTCACTAGCTATAAGTAAGTCGTCTAAATAACAAAAAACAAAATCAAGACCTTGTAAAATGGAGTTCATAAAGCGCTGGAAGGTTTGTGCTGCTCCGCGCAAACCGAAGGTCATTCGAGGAAACTCGAAAAGTCCGAATGGTGTTATGATAGCGGTTTTCTCCACGTCACCTGGTGCGACAGGTATAAAATGATAACTTCTATTGATGTCTAATTTTGAAAATATCTTTTTATCCGGAAGAATAAAAGTAAAATCGTTCAAGCGAGGAATCGGGTATCTGTCGGGCTTTGTTATCGCATTCAGCTGGCGATAGTCCCCACAAGGTCTTATATCTCCATTCTTTTTAGGAACTACATGGAGCGGACTAGCCCACGCGCTCTTTGAAGGACGACAGATGCCCAGTTCTTGCATGATGCGAAATTCTTCTTTAACTTTTTTATACCTGTCAGGTGGCAACGGGCGCGCTTTCGCGTGCACGGGCGGGCCAGAGGTCTCGATATAGTGGACGACATCGTGTTTCGCAGTTTCTCGGAATGACGCTGGTTTAGTGATGTCCGGATACTTTAACAATAAATCCTGATATGGATGATTTACATCAATAGTTTTAACACTAGGTTGAGATACATTGACAACAGATGCCGAAACATTCAATTCTGTAGTTTTATCTATTAATTTACGCGCGTTTAAATCAACTAATAGTTTGTGGTACGCTAAAAAATCGGCGCCCAAAATTGGTTGTTTGACATCTGCTACAACGAATTCCCAACGATAAGGTCGGCGTAAGTTTAAGTTTAACACTATTGTCTTGGTACCGTAAGTTGCGATTTCATTGCCGTTAGCTGCGTATAATTTATATTCACTACACTGATTTAGACGATCTTTTCTCACGGCTGGTAAAACAGACACATTGGCACCGGTGTCAACTAAAAATCTAAGTCCGGAGTTACTGTCTGACACACACCAACGATTGAATGGAAAAACGGTACAGACCTGAAGACCCTCGGACTGTACCTCGCTGCTCAGTTTTCCGGCTCTGTTGTTTTCCACGCGCAAGGCTTCGTACACCTGTTGGCCTTTTCTCGGAACCTGTAATGGTAAAAGCATAAGTAGTTCTCCTTCCGGGGACGGCAGGGACTGCTACGGCGCCTGGACTGTGAACGACGCCGGTTGCGATCAGGGGCGCGGGACCGCGACCTCTGCTGCTCGATCCGGTCCACGGTAGCCTTTATTTTAGCCACCTCAGCTCTCAACAGGGCCAAGTCATAGGCGGTAGTAGTGCTGGCGCTGGCACGGTGTAAGTAGCGGTGGCGGCATAGGAAGGCCGCACAGCCTCCATGACGTTATCTGCAACTGCTGCTAGGTTGTCCAGGTCCTTGGAGTCGGACACAGTTAGCACGGCTCGGACTTGTGTCGGAAGACGACCCTGCCACAAGACGCGAAGGGTTTCATCAGGAACCTTGTCAGTAGCGAGCTCACGCATCCGCCGAAGCAGCTGAGATGGTTTCTGGTCGCCCAGCTCTAGCTCGCTCATAAGCTTCTCGATCTGCCTCGACATTGACTCCTCATAGATGTGGAGTAGCCGAGCTTTGAGTGCGTCGTACTTGTAGGTAGGAGGCGGGTTGAGTAATATGTCCGTCACTTGCGCGATAACCTCCTTACTTAGCTTAGACACGACCAGGTCAAACTTCGCCTCATCACTCAACCTCTGAGGTGCGAGGATAGCTTCCGTGCGTACGAACCATACGCGTGGCTGGTCCGTCCAAAAGTCTGCGAGGCGAGACTGTAGGGACACTGCATCTACACCTGGCGCCATAATGGGCGGTTGCGCGGGTGGCTGGATGTCTTGAACGGGTGGCACGTTAACAGGCGGCACGTTCTGTGACGTAGGCGGAAACGGCGCACTCATGTTACTATATCTATTGTCCACCGATCACAACCACGCGAATATTGCCCACTACTGCATTAACATCACATAGACCACTTCGGTCATCTTGATCACGTCGGGGTCACCAGTTTAGGAGCTGACTCCATATGGGTGCCTATTGGTGACCATAATGAAAGATGAAATCTTTTACTAATATATTTATTATAGCGGAACGTGCCATACAGTTGGCGGGCAACTAGTGACTGGTTGAAAAATCTTATTCACTACATAATATAGTTGCAATACAACATTGCGAAGTTTACATGTGTGTGCGCAGCACACCTACAGGTACAAGCAAGCTATTAACGTAGAATTAAACCCTGCCTTCAAAAGCTGTGTGTGGGAATTATTTCATTCTTTTTAATTTGTGATTTATTAACTTTAATTTTTTAACCTTTTGTAAACTAAGCAATATCGTAAGCTCAAGTAACAAATAGAATTTCATCTAAATAGTTACAATAATATAGTTACATAACAACTTAATCCACTATTTTCTCACCTAAGGGAGTAATTTAAGTTTGAAGAAAATTTCTCAAAATTGTAAGAAATTTTCCTCAAATTTAAATTGGACCTTGAGCTATACCTATACCACTTAAAAACTAAATCAGTTAAGACGTCTCCGGGTAATCGATAAACATACATAGCCCGCGTTGAATAGGAATACCAATAAAACCTAGACAAATTGTTTAATTAAATTTTATTAACACTAAAATAATTTCTATATACAGAAACCTAATACAAAATTGTAATGATTATTACAAAACCAGCACGAATCGTAAGACCACAATACAAATGCCCCCTCAAATTTAGTTAGAGTACCATTGCATTATAAATTGTAACACAATTTACACATGCAACGTACTTACATGGTCCTCAGACACTACTTAATATAAACATTAAACCTAACTGGTACCATTCTCCAACTCAACTAATGGGCAAAGCATGTAACATACTTTGAAATGTGTCGCGAATCTTTACAGCATAGGCTATTAATGTTAAAGTAATTTAGTTTAAGACAACTATCCGCCCATAACTTGCGATAATATGGGATTCCAAAAAAGTGCAATTCAAAAATACAATAAATGTTGATTATCTCTTAGATAAAATGCTTTTAAGTACTATTTTTACTTTTAACCCTTACTCCTTCTTTTCTAGAACTTTTAAAAGGGACTATACATCAACGCCATATACATACATAGGTATTACATATACAGACTTACGATCTTAGTAATCTCGATAAAAAGTAGATACCGCGTGCGTCACGCGACCAAGTGGCATTGACCTATGCGATATCTTCTAATAAAATATGGACTTAAAACCTCTTCTCTCTCATTCCGTCAAAGTCCACTGCTGTAAAGGATCCTCTCCTGTTGTAACATTTGTCTTAATCAAAGGCCTTGGCAGACGGATGAGTAATCGCAGTGCTAGACGTTGCGCACCTTTGAAGCTGCTTCCCGCCGCCAAAATCGGTACCTTTTTACGTCTGGCGAAATAAGATAGTTCTATGGAAGCCATGATGAAGCATTTTCCATAGTTGCCCCTTGAGACACTCACGGAATTAAATAGGGTGATTGATATTCTTACACCACCAACACAAGGCAACAGTAAAATTTGCAAGATAAATGTACATTATTTTGTGTTCATAAAAATATGAACGTAGCTCACAGTACTTAGACGAAATGAAAGACGTGCTCTTTCATTTCATAACACACGAGCAACCCAAATTGGATCCCCGCCTGCATCGCTAAATTCGTTGTCGTAATTTAAATTATTTATCTATGTTCTCGTGCTCGGGTGTTAAAGAAAGGTTACCATTCTTCTTCACTCAATAGAAATTTACATAAAAGTTTAAAAATATTTTTCGAGAATTTGCGAGATCCGCAAACCGAATCCCATTAGCACTCAACTCAACAAGCAATACCTACGTCGAACTTTCACTGCTCCTATAAGCCTTCCAGAAACACAAGGAAGCCTGCACTCAGTATTAAAGGATGTATATTTATAAGAGATAGAGCCACATTGCAACGTATTATTATGGCTGCATCACGAATAAGTTGACTCGAACGAGGAATAACCACGCCCGCACAGTATATCTCTGGGAAATAACAGCACAATGTTTCTGTTTCATATGGTGTAATATTCAAGGGTGACAACGCATTTGCATTTTCCTCACAGCATCCACTTACCATCGGATGGACTGCGTGCTCTTTTGTTACCCTTATTTCTAAAAATCTAAATCTAAAATATTATTTTTATTTCTTACCATTGTTTATTCAGTTGTTAAGCATTTTCTTTTGTCTACAGTGAGCAGGAAGCAGCGGTTATGAAGGCCAACCCATGGCTATATCACTATTACGCAGTTCAATCTAAGCTTCATTATGGACTGGCCTATGAAGCAGCTACTAGAATGTATGGACCACCACCGCCAGATATTCAGGTCTACCCACCTGCTATGCAGTACACCCAAGCGCCACCAGTCTGTATTAATGGCAATCAAGCTGTCATGATGAGTAATACTGGACTCCAGCCTCACATATCACATGTTCCACCACACTTAACACCAATCCATTATGCTTACGAAAGAACGGATAATGGACCTGTGGACTACTCCGTGTCATTGCAAGAAAACAGGTAAAAAGAGTTACTTTAACGTTTAATGCAATAACGGATATACCTAACTCAATAATATAGCTCCTCACTCTTTCAAAATTCGCCGTATAGAACTTTAACTTTCTATTTCAGATACCACAACATACGATTGGAAGATACCAGAATTCAGCCCAATGCCAAAAGGAAAGGAAAAAATTCTGATGATAAATCTAACATTCCTATTACTAACATATCACCTCGTTTCTCATCATCTACGGTTCATTCTGGAGGAGAAATGTTAATAGCAATATCGGCAGGGTCTATAACAAGTCGAAGGCCAGGATCGAAGAATTTTAACATTACAGAAACTGATATAGTTGATCAGTGGAACCCTAGTCCAACGTGGTCGGAGTCAGCATTGCAGAAAGTTCCAGACGTCTGTCATCAAGACCTTGGTCCATACGTTACAAGGACTCCACCCACACCATCTGGCACTCCATCTGCTTACACACAAAACTACAGTCATACGTTTGTCTTCGACTGGTCGCCTGAGCAATATGTTCCTCACACTAACAATAGATGTAGTACAATAACAACGGAAAGTTCCTATCAGCAGACGTGGAATAGAAGTCAAAGGACGACTTTTACCAACGCAGAGAGTTCTGTCGATGAGAACTGCAATCCTAATAGGTTAAGCTTACCAATGAGGGTCAGTAGTCCACCATCGGAATACAACACTAGCAGAGAAGGAGAGATTCTAAGAAGGCACATCGGTGAGTTAAATTAGTAGCGTTTAAGATTTTAGAGGTCAATAGCCAGTACCGATTAGAATTTATCATTTTAGAGATTATTTTTGCAAAAATATTCTTTTCCCTGGAAATAATATTATTATAAAACATTTTTAGACTTAAAATGTTAGTGCAATTGACGTAATGGTCCACTTGCTGGTAACTTCACACTGTAGGTGTCTACAATGTGTAATACCAGCACCTTGAACGGATGGTTTGATTGAATGGAAATGGACCATAGGTACCTACCTACTCGTTTGTCACCCGTAACTTGCTGGGCGAGGTTTCCATCAACGAGGAAGCTTTGAAGTAACATTTCGAAAATTCAGTATCTAATGAATTTTTTATTTTATGTGTATGTTATATTTAACATACTTCCAAAAGAAAATACTTTAAACTGTAGTAAAGTACATGTAACAAAAATGTTAATAAAACACTATTTTTTTTAAATCGTAATTTTTTCAAATAAATAGAACAAAAGTACAACGTTAGCGTTAGCGTTATTTTTAGTCAAACCATTATCATCAAAAAGCTCGTTCAAAACACCTAAATATCTTGATAACTGAAAAAATATAACTTGCATTTGACCGATATTGATTCTGTTCAAGTTATTCAGGGGAAAAGATGTTATTTCGACGTGGTAGAGCCATGCTGGAGCAATATCAGTAGTATAGTTGTAGCAGGAATGGGTCGGCTCTTTTATGAACTACAGACGCAGACGTCGCGCGTCAACACTCATGACCACATGACTACGTACATAATATAAACATATTTCATTGAAAAAATATACCAACTAACCATTGAGGCACATAGTAAAATTTAAAACATAAACATACATATAACATAACACAAACACTCACGCCTGTCACCCAGAGGGGTAGGCAGAGACTTCAATTTGGCACGATCCTGACATACCTCTCTCGCCTCCTCCACATCCATATACCTACGCATACATACTCATCGGCTAAGGGTACTCTTAATTTGGCCTATTTTCAATATATCGCCAATTTGGTCGATAAACTTTCGCCTAGAACACATCCCTTTCCGACTCTGCCGTTCACTTCTGCAACATAAATTTTGCTTTGTCACTCTTTCCTCATTCATTTTTTCTACATGACCAAACCGCCCAAGCATTCCTTTCTTAATTCTGATCACATCATCTTGCAAATCACACTCTTCTCTTATCATACAATTTGTCACCCTGTCACTCAGATTCAGCCCTAACATACTCCTTAACGACCGCATTTCTACACCGTTTATTCTACTCTCATGCTTCTTTTGCCACACCCAACTACCACTACCATACGTTAAAGTATAGGACTAACACAAAATTTTGAATTGCCATACATGCCTTTTTGACACATTCTGACTTTCCACAGTAGAGTGTAGAGCCCCATTTACTCTATTTTCTAAAATGTAATAAAGGTGTTAAATATTGTAGTATGTACCCTTATAATTCGAGATCACTACCAGCTCGACTGTCTTGTTGGTCTAGTGGTCGTGAACGCGATTTTTGATCACAAGATCTCGGGTTCGAATCCCGGATCGGGACAAAATCAGTTATTGAGTCTGTCTGTCGATAAATTATCAGTAGTAGCTCGGAGTCAAGAAGCTGGTGGTGTTCCATCCCCGTGCCTCAGAAAGCACATAAAGCTGTTGGACCTGCGCCTGATCTCTCTCTGGTCGTGCCTGATTACAGTCCCATCGGACTATGAGAGTGAGGGAATAGAGAGTGCACCTGTGCTTGCGCATACACTTGGGCACTATAAACCTGTCCTGCGCAGATGGCTAGTCTCCGTTGAGACTGGCCGCCGTGACGGAAATTCGGTCTGGAGGTCTTCATCATTTTTATTAAATAAGTAAATGTAAAGTATGAGATATTTTTTCGTGGGTTTCGTTGTAATATAACCATCCAATGAATGAATCTGTTACTTTCATACAATAAGTACCTATTTGTACCAGCTAGAATTCGAGTACCCAACTCAATAGTCTTGAATACGAAGAATCTAAAGTATAGACATCATATTAAAATGACGTTCTAACATTCCACCTGATGGTAAGTGACTATTGCAGCCTTTGGACACCTGCAACTAACTTCAAACAAAGAAACACTAGCCAAATGTGATTGTACATGGAACACAATGGTATGCATTATTAATTGGTGGCAGAAATTGGCTTTTAATAACAGGGTATTTTACCATTCAATTGTTGCAGATCGGCCACATCCAGATTCACCAGGTGCCAAAAAGCCTGCATTATAACTATAAGATAATTATAAAAATGTAATCATTAAAATTAGTTTAATATTTTGTTACCCTATTCCTATTTATAATTTTTGTAAGTATTTAGTAGTGCAAGCTCTGGAACTCTCCTGTGATCTGTTTGTATATGATAATATAGGTAATTTAGTTATGTAAATTTATATTATACATATTTTCAAATTTACAAATAGAAACTTGTACAAACTTATATGTTATTTAAAAGTAGGTGCTGATTAAAATATTAAATTATCGCATACAATGTGAATTTCTGTTAAATAGAATTAATTTTGTAACATTGTGGAAATATTTAAAAAATATTGTGTTATAAATTCTTTGATCAACAAAAATTTATAATAGTCTGTGATTTTAGAAATTTCATATTATAAACAATACATATTTATTTCCATTTGCAATTAAATCATAGATCTTGAGGTTATTCCAAGTTTTTATGCAATATCTAAGTTTTTATTTACACCTATATTTAGCCCACATGCACAAAATAGCAGAATAGAGTATGGTATATACATACATACATGTATAAATTCTCAAACCTGTCACACAGGGGGATGGCCAGAGACTTCTGACTTCCATTTAGCAAGAACCTGACACACCTCTCTTGATTCTTTTACATCCATATATCAATGCACACATGCTCATTGGTTAAAGACCTAATTTAGTCCATCTTCAATATACCTACCTAAACATCCCTATAGGGTGTCCCTTGTTGACATTGTAAAATGATGAAAATGATGTGAATGTCTTAATATGTTATTTATTTACTTTTGTCAACTAAACTGAAACAATAAAATTCTAATTATTAAGTATCTATTATATTAAATTGATTTTAAAATATGCACCCAGAGTGGGACAGTTGTATTTCCATTTTATTTTTTATTTATTGATAATAATTTTACAAAATTTAGATTGGTATTTTACGGTATAAACATAAACTATACAGCTTTACCATATACTAAATATATATATGTTATAAAATATCCTAGTCCAGTCTCTGCCTACCCCTCTAGGTGACTTAAGCAAGAGTTTATGTTTTATGTTTTAATATTTATCCTAATAATCAAGTATCTGAAAGAATATTTATGTAAATATTTAATAATTGTAATAATTACATGGTATGTGTTATGTTAGTATGTATGTAATAAATATCTGTGACTTATGTACAAACTATACATTAAGAAAAAGTCCGTCCATGTGTGGTGTTGAAGTAGATAAATTTATTTGCTTTATTGTTGATTGACTTTCAAAAAGTAAAGAATTCAAAACATATCTTTTATTGTTTTATTTTCCCTTACTCAATATAAAGTTAAAATGAAAGGCAGAATAGTTTCAACTTTTTAATTTCTAAAAAATTTAATAAAAATTATAAATTATTCATTCTTACATCTATACTTGCTAGACATGATAGGTTATGTTAAATTAATCAGGTCGTAAACGCATATTTCGTAAAAGGCAAAGATCTCTGGCAGTATCTCGTCTGCCATAAGGAATAGACAAATCATAAAGCCTTAAAATTAAGCCAATATTAAAACTGTCAGGAAGAGCCTTAATCAAAGTTGGAACAATTTCACTAGGCATCTTTTGTAATACAATTTGTGCTCTTTCATGGCCACATTGAACCATGTATACCAAAAATTGTAAAATGAAATAGGTCTGAGGTGTAATTTCACCATTTTTACCAGCCAATTGAGAAAATGACTTGTAAAGCAGTTCTAATGCAGATTGCAAAGGTTCTTTTAAAACTGCTCCTGAAACACTTTGTCCTTGAGAGTAGTACATGGAACTACTGTCAGAGGAATTATCATTTAATCGTCGAACTTTACTTGATGAGCACAAGGCATCCAAATCTTCATTATCATCATGTCGACGTTTTCTAGAGATTGTTGCTTTACTTGAATTGCTATATTCAAGTGCAGCATAAATGCAATATACTGACAGTTTGGCCAACACTGCACATTGAGGTTCAACTAATTCTTCACATAATTTAGCATTGTACAAATATTGAGGTAGCACATGTAACAGCAATGCCTCAGTACAACTTTCAATATCCAAATGACACATGGCAAGTACAATATCCACAGACCTGTCCAAGTCTTCCTGATAACGGAATTTAAGTGTTTCCTTTACTAGATTTGTGACAAACCAAACAGGTCCTGCTGTGTTTAGCAAGCTTTGAATGATATGTGTAGCATCTATATGTAAATATCCTCTAGACTTTATGTCTTCCCAAACTGATTGCAACTGCTCGAGAATTGGTTGACGTGAAATAATGCTATGTGAAAATGTTATAACTTTAGACTTCGGAACAGATGGTGGGTGAATGTCATATTGCATTTTTCGGATTATTTGGCACATTAATATAGCTCTCTCTTTAAAGTTGTCAATCTGTGCTAGTTCAACCTCTGTTGGTGGTGCCAAAAATTGTTGTACCATGTTTATTGGCTTCAAAAATGCATCCTGGTGTACAACATTGATATAGGAACACAACCAAACTGAGGCACAAACAGCTAATGATGCCATTTTTTGCCGCAATGAATCTAACATTCTTTTGACATCTGCAGATGAAATAGAACCATGTTCCCATGCAAATAATATCTCTTTAACAGCACCACTAACATTCATGCATAGATCATGAGGCTTTAAATTAGTATTCTTAAAATCAAAATCTGGAGCACTTAGATGGTGGATAAAAATATCCACAAGTTGTGGATCACATTTTTGGAGTATTTGGTCTGGTGATTTATGGACGCCTTTATGGACCATACAGTCACGAACCCATTGTTCAAAAAATGAATCACCATTATCATCTAAAACAGCCTCGATTCCATATTCTTGCACAATGAAGCAAAGGATTAAAAATGAAATATCAAAAATATAAACCTTTGATTGAGATGCTCCCTTTTCACTTGCAGCTAATAAAGCAAATTCATTGAATTTTATAAGTCTAGACACAAATAATTTAAGTTTACCTTCCACAGTTGCCACAGCCAAAATTGTGTCTAGTGTAGTGCCTCCAACAATTTGACATAACATTGCATATAAAGACTCTTGCGTTTTGTGAAAATCTCCACCCATTGTTTTCAAAATTCCAGCCAATGTAGGTTCCGCACGAGTCATGAATGATGGCACTGAACCTTGAAGACCAGTGGGTTCTAATTTCTGAAGTTTAATATCCTTGGTTTCTCGCTTTTGTTTGAAATATGACAAATGATTTTCAGACACTAAATTCAACTTTACTAAAGGTTCTAAAAGAGAAACAAGGCCATTACAAGAATTCTTAGTATCAACTACATCCAGTAGAGGTGTGCATTGCAATAACTTTTCAAAGGCTTCAACCACTTCCAAGGAGTATTCCCCGTCTTTGTTACTAGCTCCACACATGTTATGAATATAATTTATTACTTGAGGTACTTTTAGGAAGGTAAACGCAGCCCACAGTGCTTGCTTAGAAGCATCCTTACTCGAGTCATTTAAAGAAATAAAACATGCTCTTATAAGTTCACAGTATAACCTTGACAGTGTATAGCCTTTTATCCTCTGCACCATTAGCAATTGGCTAGAAAATTGTTGAATATCTGCACTTGGATTAGCTAAAACATTAATAGCAACAAGAGCTTGAAGGCAATGTGTAACAGATTCAGGTTTGCTATTAAGGGGAGCGATTTTGTCAATAGACATGTTACAAATCTTATGCAATGTCTCATGAATTGTAACAGGTGCTTTGAACTGTGTGTTCATCATCATAAAAGCTGTTATCTCCTGACATTTCTTTGTGACTTCATTATACTCCTCAGGATCATTTTGTTTTGCTAAATAAAACATTGCTAGCAAAAAGTCTGTATGAACAATCGAATTTAATAGTGATGTGGATTTTTCTAGTAATTCTTGACTTTGGATAGGGTTAGAAGATGGATATTTACTCAAGGAGTAATGATATACTTGAAGTAGCCACAAAATTATAGATGAAACAGCATATGCTAGAATTTCTTCCTCCATTTTTCCTCTACAAGTAACACTATCTAGGAAGCTCTCCAAAAACTCGAGGAGGCTTAAAATACAATGTGGTTTATGAAATGCATCAAACTTAGCAATTCTCTGTAAAACCGCGGCGTAGGATACTAAATGCGAAGCCAAAGAATGCTTAAGATATGATATTACCAGCTGATTAGCCCCACATCCAACCATGGCTTGTTGAAGTATGCAATCTGCTAAATTGTATAGATCGCCACTGACTCCCCTTGGTAAAATTGTTTTGATATTTATGCCCCACTGTATATCAGTCCATCTTTCTCTCCAAGCTTTTAGAATCAAAGCCTTTAGTGAGCTCGTTTTACTTGTAGTTTTTGAAGCATCCATTTTTGCATCAATTGTATGCGTCTAGTACCAAAACGTGTCAAAATACTGAAAACTTTATTCACTTTGCAAAAGTTAAGTTATTTCACATTGATGACATGGCACCATTTATTCACTTTTATTAATAACCCAACGTTAAATATCCAACATCATTAAAATAAACAAGAAATACAAGAAGGTTTGTACACTGTACAGCACAAGAGTAGAATCTGCAAGTTTTTAGAATGACAAACATGACAATCAATGACAATTGACAGCTACTTTTCTGCCATAAAACACTACTTTTCATGCAAACGCGTATATAACTAATTTTATATTTCGTATTTTTTATCATTACAAATGATTATAAAATCTAAACTTTCTAACATTCATTACTAAATTTCTCATATATTCATTGAATTGAAACTTTCAATACAAAAATATAATGTAATATAAACGAAATTATGTAACTATTACTTTATATTGTATCTAATGTAACATCGATATTGTAATTGGAACGCAACAAAAATATCTCCAAATCCAACCAACATCAAAAGTCAAAACCTCATGTCAACCTATTGTTTACAAACTGAAAACTGAAATTTTTATTAAAAGTTTTTTGACTGAAAACATAATGAGTTTTAGAAATTATAAAGAGAAAATCGACGAAGGTGATATTGTAATATTGTATTTAAGTAACAATCTTTACGCCCTCGATGTGAGACCTGAAATAAAAAATACAAAAGGTGACATGGTAGAAAATGTTTACCAAACACCTTTTGGAGCTTTGAAGGTTAGAAATCTTATTGGAGCTGATTATGGGAGCCGGGTAAGCATATTTTCTTAATAATAAGCAGAATAAAAGTTATATTTATCAAAAATAAAATGCATTTTAAATGTCTTACAATATGAATCCAGCAGAATTTGTGTTATATTTATTGTAAGTTGTTGTTAAAGTTTACTCCTTCAACCTAACTAAAATTTGTTAAACATACCGTGCGGCATTGGAATGACCTACCTTAAAAGTTAAGACAATCTACCAGCAAAACAAACCATTAAGACGAATGTTCGGGCCCATTTCCTAAATTTTATTAAAAACTGCTAAGCTCCATCATCATTGTAGTTCTCTCTTTTAGTTTATTTTGGATATTATGTAACTTATGTTACATTTTCTTATAATATTTATATATGTGACATGCTTATATGTATGTATTATATGTAAATACTATTGTGAGGTCCTGGGTTCGAATCCCGAGTCGGGCCATCAATCAATTATTGAGTTTTTTCTACGAAGAAATTCTCAGTAGCTGCCCGGAGTCAGGAAGTTAGCGGTGTCTCACCCCCGTGCCTCGGAAAGCACATAAAGCCGTTGGTCCTGCGCCCGATCTCCCTCCGCTCGTGTCGGTTTACTGACCCATCGGATTATGAGAGTGAGGGAATAGAGAGTGCATCTGTGCTTGCACATACACTTGAGCACTATAATCCTGTCCTGCGCCGATGGCTAGCCTCCATTAAGGCAGGCCGCCGTGACTGAAATTCGGTCTGGAGGACATTATTATTATATGTAAATACATAGTGTGATCAAAAAATAAGGTGAATTTTGATACTATGCACTTGTGCCTGCGCTTTTTCCAGTCATTAAAACAATTCTGAAATGAACTTTTGTGTATTGTCTTGAGCTCCTCCAGCGATGCAGCCTTAATCTCCTGAATCGTCACAAATCTTCATCCCTTCATGGGCCTTTTCAATTTTGGGAAGAAGCAAAAATCGCAGGGGGCCAAGTCTGGTGAATATGGTAGCTGAGGCCTGATGGTAGTATTGTTTTTGGCTAACAAACGACTCACTAGTAAAATGATGTGTGTGCAAGTGCATTATCATGGTGCAATCCATGAATTTTCTTTCCACACTTCTGGCCGTTTTTTTCTTATTGATTCACGCAAATACTGCATAACCTCAAGGTAAAACTCCTTGTTTGCCATACAATCTTGTGGTAGTAATTCTTTATGCATAATGCCAAGGTAATCAAAGAAAATTGTGAGCAAAACCTTTACATTCGAACAAATTTGGTGTGCCTTTTTTGGTCCTGGCTCTCCTCTTTGATTGGGCTTTGGTTTCGACGTCATAACCATATACCCATGATTCATCACCAGTCCTTTTGAGCAAATCAGAATCATTACCAACATCGTCCAACATAGGGCAATGTACTGCTTCTGATCAAAATTAAGCAATTTTGGAACAAACTTTGCTGACACAAGTGCCATACCCAAAACATACGTTAAAATTGACTGGCATGAGCCAAATTATATGTTAAGATCATCAGCTACTTCTCTAATCGTGATTCGACGATTTTTCAACACAATTTCTTACACTTTCTGAACATTTTCAACATGTTTTTGACATGCTGGGGCATCTGTAGCGAGGTTCATCTCATTGGAATAACTTACCACTTATAGATATTTTTTTGCTCAGAGTTGAATCATCTTACATCACTGTCCACATTTCAAGAGTTTTCGGAGCACTTAGTGGAGAGTTTACATTAATTTTTACACAAAATTAATGCAAACTCTCCATTATTTTCAACAACAATTTTATGCCTCTCACATAAAAACAATGCTAGCTATATAGTCAAAACGGTGAATATATGATTGTGACGAGTGTACCAACTCAAAAAAAAAGTATTTTGAAATTTCAGTGCACAGAGCTCATGAAATTCAAAAAGTCACCTTACTTTTTGATCACACCTCATATATTAACACTATTTCATTCTGTTGAGTTTTATTTAAATAAGTGTTTATAACTTTTTTTTTATATATTTTTTAAGTTCTTTGTAACTGCTTTCGTAGTGCTATGATTGACCTTTGTCTGGCAGAGAATGCTTTTAGCATTAAATCTGCCTTTTGATCCTATACTGTTTAATGGTTCAATAAAGATTTAATAAATAAAATAAATCATGCTATATTATATTATTATATGGTATTTATTCATACTTATTGGAAGTAATGAACTATTTTCTTATTTTTAATCTGTTTTCAAAAAATTAATTAATTTAATCACAGGTTGAACTATCCAAAGGCTGGGGTCATGTGTTACAACCAACTCCAGAACTGTGGTCTTTGACCTTACCCCATCGCACACAAATTATCTATACACCAGATATTAGTATGATATTATTGCAGTTGGACTTGATACCTGGCAGTGTTGTCGTTGAAGCTGGTAAATTCTTTATATTAAAAAATATTTTATAATATGTTTTAATTATGTAACCTTGCAGCTGCTGGCCGCATGAGGACGCTCAAAGTCGATCAGCAAGCTATGGAGAATGCTATGATTGGGTTTCTCTGCATGATAAACTTAGAAATGAGGATATCCACAGCAGAACCAAAGTGACTGACATACCCCAACGGATTAGTAAGCTGAAGTGGCAAAGGGCCGGCCAAATAGCTCGAAGAACCGACAACCGTTAGGGAAAAAAGGTTCTCGAGTGGCAGGCTCGTACCGGTAGGCGAAGTGTAGGTCGACCCCCCACTAGATGAAGTGATGACCTGGTAAGACATGCAGGAAGTCGAACAATGCAGGTGGCTCAGGACCGTGCTTTTTGGCATACCTTGGGGGAGGCCTATGTTCAGCAGTGGACTTGTGAAGAGCTGTAATGATGATAATGATGTAACCTTGTAGTGGCGGTGCAAAAATATCCATTACCAAACACACTACTGGATGATATCCAGTAAGTGACGTAAGAGGCTATAGAGGGAAACTGAAACAGGTGATGGGCAGCATTCCTGATAAAAACTCAAAATAATAAAAATATGTTTGTCAATCCTCCTGCATAGCATGACAACTATGTCGAAATGCCCACTATGAGGTAATCTATGGGGTAAGGCTATGTTAAGCAGTTGAATTTTTTATGCTGTGATGCACAGCAGTGGACTAGTGGTTGAATTATACAGGATGATTTTTTTACCGTCTGGAAAAAAATAGGATGTAACAAGTGAACGGAGTAGAAGCCTATGGCAATGATATTTTACAATTTATTTTTATTTTACATTAACATATTATGAAACGTATTATTTTGATTTCGATAGTTTTTAATTTATTTATTTATTTCATATCAGTAGTTTTTATTGATAGATCAATTTCATAATATTGTTACGAGCTTGAGGTTCGTGACAATAAAAACTGCCGATTGAATTACCAAAATTTACACTTTTGTTACTGAACACCGATTAAAACTTAAAACACTAATAATTAATCACACTGATTCACTTTATTTCGCTCCGAAACTGCCCCGATCGCGTATTGAACGGCCTTTAAATACACCTTTTTCACTGAAACATCCCCAGAATATTCCAGTGGATACGGGCGCCGACCGACCAGACGCAGAAAGTTCGAGTGTGGGGCTTCTAGAAAGCTTAATTCTTCTGTTCGATACTAGATGGCGCTGTTAGTCGAAAGTCAAGATTGACATTTTCTAAGAAGCCCTCCTCGTTCTCGTCCCCTATACTAGATGGCGCTAGTGCTGGGTACATGACGTCAACTGCCCCTCCTAAGACATGCTCGTCCCGAGCATTATCGGCCCCATAATAACGCGCCACCATCCACATGGACGATCTTAGGAGTCCCTCTTGCGCCTTTCTGTAACGGCTTCGCAATGTCAAGGGCTGTCCTATCCCATGGTGCACCAACATTGTAGAATTTCGATGCTCCTCTACTACGTATCTGAGGTCCCCTCACAGCCGCACAACTTGTACATGTGCGACATCAATCCTCGACATCGTCACGGTAATGTACCCAGTAAAACCGTTCTCGGATCTTCAGTAGAGTTTGTTTAACTCCCAGATGGACTCCTGAACAACCATTATGGTGCAGCTGTAGAACATTCGGCACTTGAGCTTTAGTGACAACCATTTGCAAACGACAGCTGTCTCCTCGACCATTGTCCCATTTACGGCACAGAAGTCCATCCTGAATCAGCAAGCTGTCCCATTGGGACCAATAGCTATTTCGTGGTCGAACTCATCGCTGAGACGTCGCTCCTCTAAGACTTGGTAGCACGGGCCTTCATCCACTCCAGAATCGGCTTGATGTCTGCATCTTCCTGCTGTGCATGTTGTAGGCTGTCCTTCCACTCGTTGCTGAGGTGGTCTGTCCTGAGCATCCTCACAGATACCACTTCCTTACTCTCTTGTCTAGTACAATGCTTGTAATCTTCAGGACAAGGTCTTCTTGACAATGCATCTGCGTTGCCATGAGATTTCCCGCTGCGATTTCTGATAGTAAAGTCGTATTCCTGCTGCTGCTGGGCGGTGATGTTAGCCGCACTTCCCTTCTGAGATCGTACACCTTCCCCTTTCTAGAGTTCGCTTAGGGCAGCTGGATCGAAGATGGCACATTCCCCCACAACCATAGCACCTAGGGCTGTATCCTTTATTGTGGTCGCGAACCGTAACTGCTGCAACCTCGCTAGCGAGAGAAGAACGATGATCCTGCCACCGCCAGGCGGTGCCGTTAGCTGCACTACCCTCTCGAGATCGATCAACTTCCCTTTCTACAGTTCGCTTAGGGCAGCCGGATCGAAGATGGCCCCTTTCCCCACAGCCATAGCACCTAGGTCTGTATCCTTTGTTGCGGTCGCGAACTGTAGCTGCTGCAACCTCCCTGACGCGATGGGAACGATGATCCTGCCGCACGGCTTCCCCCTGCAGTGCATGGGCCAAGGCGTCCTTAAGCGTCTCGTGGTGCCCAAGCCTCACAGCAGCTCTGACTTCCAGGTCACGGATGCCGGCGATGAATGTCTGCACCAGGTTCCCTTCAATGAGCGCAGGTACAGACCGGTATGCTTTTCGCACCAGCTTCTCCACCTCTAGAGCCCACTGTTGCAGGTTTTTGTTGTTGCGTTGCACGCTATCTTTACGCTGCGCACGAAAGATGTGTTCCAGGTGAGCGTTGCCATATCTCGCCTCCAATGCCTCAAGGAGCTGTTCATAAATCACTTCCTCACCGAGAGCTTCCAGAACAGTTAAGGCCTGGTCACGCAGGCCTAGCTCGAGAGCAGTCATGGCCTGACTTTTATTCCAGCCGTTAGCTTTCATGACAACCTCGAACTGGATTTTGTAGGCCGACCAGGAAGAAGTCCCGTCGAACGGTGGCACTTTGAACCCACGTAGCGAAGGTGTTGTAGCTACTACGGGAGCTGTGACTCCATCCCCCAGTTTGAGGTCGTCCAGCGTTTTCTTCACGTCAGCCATCACGTTGTCTACCCGATTGTTCACTTGGTCGATTCGGGTTTCAGATTTCTCGATTCGGGTTTCAGCTTCCGACAGGCGGTGTATCATGTTGAGCAACCTTATCCTTCACCTCCTTCATCTCCTTCCCGAAGGTAGCGTGAAGGTCCTTAACGAGGAGCATCTGCTCTTCCAATCGGCGTGCCTGTTCCGCCTGCTGGCGGGCCTGTGCCTCCTGCTGCTCTTTCAACCAACGGGCCTGTTCCTCCTGTCGACGGGCCTGTTCCTCCTGTCGACGGGCCTGTTCCTCCTGTCGGCGGGCCTGCTCCTGCAGTATCACCATCAGAGCACCTAAGTCAGGTGCTGCAGATGTAGGAGCTACTGACGGTTCTGCAGCCGGTAGCTGGCCCTCCGACGTCTGCGGCGTTGCACCACCAAATCTTCTTTGGTCCGTTTCCTGCTGGCGTTGACTTCGGGTACGGACACCCTCCGTTTCCTCCTTAGGTAAAATCGGCATAATTTTATCCCACTTCTGACACAAATTGTTACGAGCTTGAGGTTCGTGACAATAAAAACTGCCGATTGAATTACCAAAATTTACACTTTTATTACTGAACACCGACTTAAAACTTAAAACACTAATAATTAATCACACTAATTCACTTTATTTCGCTCCGAAGCTTCTCTTGTCTCGCCAAATTCAATACTGCCCCGATCGCGTATTGCAGAGCCTTTAAATACACTTTTTCACCGAAACATCCAGAATATTCCAGTGGATACGGGCGCCGACCGATCAGACGCAGAAAGTTCGAGTGTGGGGCTTCTAGAAAGCTTAATTCTTCTGTTCGATACTAGATGGCGCTGTTGGTCGAAATTCAAGATTGACATTTTCTAGGAATCCCTCCTCGCTCTCGTCCCCGACACTAGATGGCGCTAGTGCCGGGTACATGACGTCAACTTAGGCGCACAACAATATGTTAATATAAAATAAAAATAAAAATTGTAAAATATTAGATATCAGTGCCATAGGCTTCTAATCTGTTCACCCGTTACACTCTGGGTTTTTTCCAGAGGGTAAAAAATCACCCAGTATATTGTTATAATTATGTTGTTGAAGATGTATCTGCAATTTAACCCAATTCTTTGTGAATCATTAATATAAAACCTAAATATTTTTATACCTGGTTTGAAATATATTGCGTAGGTACTGGAAGCGGTTCACTCACTCATGCACTTATTCGTCGTGTGCGCCCACATGGTCATGTCTATACATTTGACTTTCATGAACACAGAGCAAAAATTGCTAGAGAAGAGTTTAATGAACATGGGCTAGCAGATTTTGTGACTGTAAGTATAAAAGAAACAAAAAAAAACGAAAAGTTGCTTGTAAGCATTTAAAAATATAATTAGCGACATTATACTCCTTTTCTACTTCCTTTTGTCGGTTAGACTTCATAAAAAGGAGGACATTCTCAATTTGTTAGCATATTCTTTTTTTATTGTGAACCAATTTGGATATCTCTTTTATTTTATATTAAGGCCGAATACGACGCGATTGACCTTGCTCTTTTCGCAGCAAACCATGCGCCGTCTATCGAACATCACGTGTGTTACCCGTACGCTTTGTTTATATAGACATGTATAATATAATCAAAGGCTTTGATTAAATTATATTTGACTGAGCTTACTCAGTATGCAGAGTAATGAACAACACAGAGAGAATTACTTACTTCTTAAATAAATCTTTCTTATTTATAATATTAGTTCCTATAGATATATAAATAATCTAAGAACAATATTAATATAATAGATAATTTAATAGATTATATATATATATATATTATAAATTCTGTACTTTATTCGTTATAAAATATTGTTCGAAAAGTTATGAGTTGATATCGATTTTTTTTCTTAATTCGTGCATCGTAGGTATGTAAAGAACCTGAAAATCATATAACTGAAAATGTTTGTTCTTGTGACTCTTACAAGATGCCGTAATGCAAATTGCATAAATAATAAAGAAACTAAAAAGTCGGTGATTGCCCCATAGTGGGGATAGGTACTGTGTATGTAAATTCTCACAAGACTACTCCGACTGGTCAATCACTTCACATCCGAAGTATTTCGGTTTTTCTTAATTATGTACTTACCCCATGCTTTCGGACAATACATTGACTATACATTATTTGCGGTCTCTGTGCTTGGACTACTCTGTACATTCTTTTCCGACTCGGTCTTGATATTTACATTTTTAGTGTTTCTCACTTGAAACTAGAAAAGTATAAATGATCAGTTTGGCTACTGTAAATGAGTAAAAATACAGCCTATTAGGCAGCCTGAAACAAAAAAATTACCTTACAAAAAAATATAAGTAACCTCAAAATACAATTTTCGAGCAGCGTTCATGCGATAAACTCTCTTTGTTTTACCACTTAGGTAACATTTATTTCTTTTCCTACCCATATTCACATTTATAGTTACTTAAACGCGTATAAAACACTAAATTAACGATTTTCGCTACAGACACAATGACTGTTGTCACCTTACGTCACACGTAGAAGCGCCTGGTAATTTATTACGGCAAACTTTTATCTGGCAATATACGATATTATTATTGGGTGTTTTTAATTAAAACGAATTATGTTAATAAATAATATTTTGTATCGAAAATAAAGACGGCAGGCACCTTCGGAATCACAATACAAACATTTTTACGTAAAAGATTTTTTCCTAAATTAAAATTCACAGAGTTTTGGAAGAACAATCATTTTTAAATATCATTTCTTAACATTTTTTTATTTGTTGGTATATTCATTTATTTTAAAATTTTAAAACTGCGGGAACCTTGTGAAGGAACCGAACAAACCTACAAAAAATGTTTTAACGCTTAGAATTACTTCAGGTCAAAGTTGTAGTTAAGAGAAATACATTAAATTTCGCCAGTTCTCTTCGTATTCGGCCTTAAATAGCTTATTTAAGGGTGGTCCTAAAAAAATTTGGATAGAAATTCCATCATTAAGGGTGGCCAATTAAGAGATAAAGTTTTAATGTAACTGTTGACTGATGACATGGATATTGTGATATTCCTAAGTTCACTGAAAACGAAATAAAAATTTAACTTCTAATAAAAATTAATCAAGTCGACTTCATAGGCACAAAAGTAATAATGTAGGTATTTGTACATTCTGTTATATTTACAAATGTAGTGATTTATATACTCTTTGATTAATAACGACTGCAACAACCGCCTCGTTGGTCTAGCAGTTTCATCATCATGACTATATGGTTTGAATCCTGACGGGCCAAAATCAGTTATTGTAGTTTTACTGTCAAGAAATTCTCAGTAGCAGAGCGAAGTCAGGAAGTTGGTGGTGTTTCACCCCCGTGCCTCGGGAAGCCGTGGATCTTGCGCCTGATCTCTCTCCAGTAGTGTCGGATTAATGACCAATCGGACTATGAGAGTCAGGGAATAAAGAGTGCACCTGCGCAAGTGTATACTCGGACACTATCTCCATTAAAATTGTTCGACGTGACGGAAATACGATTAAATAGGTTCCTTATATGCAGGAAGTCGATGGATGCAAGTGGCTCGGGATCGCGCTTTGTGGAATTCCTTGGGGGAGGCCTATATTCAGCAGTGGACTTGTCAAGGGCTATATGAAGAACCCGTATCATCATCACCATCAAATGATGTTGATTCGGGTTCTTTGATTTTAATAATAATTAACTTGTTAATAGGTATTCTCCTTCCACAAGCAATATTAATGCAGATATAGCTTCGTGATTGTAGTTACATCATTATTTTGGGCTAAGAATTTTAGAATGCAAAAATGTCGGCAACGTTAAGAAATTTATGTTGACAAGGCTTTTACAAGTACGTTGAATTGAAAGGATTGTTTTTTTTTTCTGGCAACCTTTCAAAATCAGTAATTCGATTCCTTTCAAGATAAAAATAACATTTAGAATGCATAATGTATATAAACCTGAACGACTCGAAAGCCTTTGAACGATATCGAAACTTTTTCCTCTCTGTGTATGTGTCTATTCACGCTTAGTATTCACGACTTTGTGTTGACAAAATTAAGTAATTTCCGAACTACATCTATTTATTTATTTTCTTGTAAATAAAAAAGTAATATCTCAAACAGGCTGTAAAGGTTAAAGGTATTAGTTGAAAAGAATATAGAGCAGAAAAGTCTTTCGCGCTGCTTCAATGCGAATTGGTGAAGTACACGTGTCCTTGATATTTCTTAGGCACACAACTTTCTCACAGTGTTTTCTTCACCGTCGAGAACGTGGTAAATCAGCACTTAAACTGCAATAAACAATTTTATTGACGGCGGCCGGCGATAAGCAGTAAGCACGAGCTTCGGTTACTTGCTACGACCGTCAGCGCCCCTACTCATTGCTAAGATACTGCGCCATGGAGCTGTCAATCTCTTGGCCGGTGTTAAAAAAATGCTTCTATATTTATAAATATAGTATTCCCGTTGATCACTCCAAATGAGCTTAAAATGTTTGGCTTAGGAATAGTTCTCGACAGTAGTCGAATGACAGATTATAACTCAGTGGCGAAGCCTCCATAGAAGCCGAAAAGCCGGGCTTTCCTTATCAAACTGAATCAATCAATACCATCAACTAATAAAATAACTCGTAAACTGATTCAAACTATTTAAAATTTCCCGCGCACTCCACTGTTCGACACAGGTTGACCGATGACCTCGAAAAATGAGTTTTAATAGAGCGATTAGTTATCTCCCACGCTCGCGTGGGCTTTTTACGGGGCTACTACGGAAATATTAATTGTATGTAGTTACGTATTTATGGTAGAAGTATGAAGTTCTGATGAATGATATCTTAGAAGAGTAATAATAATAATAAAACTATGAATAATATCTAATAGGAATATTATTCATAGTTCTATTATTATTATTAACACCTTCACGACTTACGTCGGTTTTAATAAATACCCCGTCCTGCAGCCCACAGGGAAAAAGGTATTTGTATATCCCCATTAATGTGTTTTAAATGAATATAATGTCGTAGTTTTGTATGGTACTTTTTCAATATTAAGATGTAATTTAATGAAAATTATTATGCAAATTAAAAGAGACATTCATTATTTGTGGTCGTTGTAGATGAGCCGGCATTGCTTGTAGGTAAATTCATACTCTGCAAAGCATCACCCATACCCGTCCCTTCCCGTTGATCGGCTGTAATATTTTCGGGTTCCCCGACTCTCGCCCGACTGTTCAGCAGAGAGCCACTGACGGTCCGTACGCTGTCACGTCCAGCGTCATCTCCAGACGTGCCCCGACACTCACCTTCTGGTAGCGGCCCTATAATAATACTACGTAATTGTCTCTCCATCTTTGAAGGTATCTAGAGCTCCGTTGGTCATTGGTTAAGTTATTCGTAATTAAAAGTCCAATGTTTGGCCCTTACGTGGCATAGATGGTCATGCGCGGACGTGGAGGTAGACTTGTGAGGGCCATAGTTCTATTATTATTATATAGTTATATATATCCTATTATATAATTATATAACATATATAACAGAAACCGAAAGAAACTCCTGTCTTTATCATTACTTGAAGTAGAAAAGCATCCAAATACAGTACAATATAAAACAATAGTAATGAAAACACAATTATAAGTACCTCTAATAGCTATCTTTTAAATTATAAACGTGTGTTCGCGTCAGGTGCGTCCGATAACGCGCGCGCCCTCGTTCAAGTGTAGACAACACTGAGTGTACAACGAAGTGCGGGGTGGGTGCGGTATTTGAAATGAGTGCGGGGAGGTGAGTGGCCGTTCTGTACGTAGTACTATTATGTAGGTATTCTGTGGGGAGGTAACGATAACGGTAATGAGGACCTGGGTATTTCGTAACGTAAGTCTACCCCGTAGAGTAGTGTAATATACCTATAATATTCAAAGAATGACAGCTTTGCAACGAAAGGACAAGGTTCGGGACTTCTGATGGTGTGATCGCCAATACGCCTGCTAAGAGTGACCGTAAAGGCAAATTCTCCTTGCAACAAGAGAGGCTCACGTCCAGCCGTGGACGTTAACGAGCTAATGGAGAAGAATACAATTAAATAATTTTATTCTAGACACAACATAGAGACGTGCTTGCTGAGGGCTTCGGTGAGGATCTTAAAGCAAAAGCTGACGCTGTATTTCTTGATTTGCCGAAGCCATGGGACGGTGTGACTCACGCTGTTGCTGCGATCAAGGAGCAGGGTAAGCTTTAAGTAATAATGGTATAAATAATATTATGTGTTGATGACTTAACGAAATATATTACCGTATTTGAATACATTATCATTTGATGTAGTGGCACTGTCACCGCGGTTTAATTACGCATACTGGCTACAAAAGGACTAAGTTATAGATAGCACTAGCGTAGTTTCAGAATAATTCTTAAGTTTGTGTTGTATATTTTTTATAGGATAGGGTGACAAACGAGCACACAGTCCACCTGATAATAAGTGGTTGCTGCGGCCCATAGACATCTACATCTATCCTCGATTACAAATCAAAATGCAGATGCGTTGTCACCCGTGAGGACTAAGAAGGAATGTCTCGTTTACAGTTAAAAGGGTCTCCGGTTCTCTACACTCACCTTACGAAACGCAGCAGCATTAAGCTATTATCTCACGCTGGTTTTCTGTGAGAGTGGTGTTCTTCCGCGATCGAGCCGACCCATTCGTGCTACAATTATACTACTAATATAATTGCAGCATGCTCTATATAACGATTAAAAAGAAACTTTCCTATAAAGGAACTAACCAGTAATGAAGTTTTATGGACTGATAAATAAAAAGAACTGTATTGTATTGTACACGCTCATTATTTTATAGGTGGTAGAGCCGTGCTGCAGCTATATTATGGTTGTAGCACGAATGGGTCGGGGAATGACCACGCTCTCACAGAATACCAGCGTAAAATAGCAGCTCTATGCCGCTGTGCTTCGCATGGTGAGCGTAGAGAACCGGAAACCCTTTATACAGGAAACGAGGCATTCCATCTTAGTTCTCAGGGGTAGCAACACATTTGCATTATGATACCCAATCGAGGATAAATGTACATGACATCAGGTGGACTGTGTGCTAGTTTGTCAACCTAATTCTATAAAAAAATGAATGATTGATACCCTTTAAGGCAGTATGAACACTAAATTGACAGGTGATCTGCCATTGACGACTAAATTGGAGCTAAAAGAAGGTTCTTTAGTCTCATAAAATTCATTAAAGAAATATATGCCTAGATGGAAATATATTCGTTTCGAATATGACAGAGATGAAATATTTGTAGCGACGCTGTAGTCGTTCCACAAGCAAAAGGAAGCGAAGCCTTAATCATGCTAGCAGAATTCAGAAGTAAAACAGCACTTATAGAATAGCTCCAAACTACCACTTGGAGCGTTGGCCGCTCCCCGGGTTGCACACTGCCCGGTTCACTCGGTCACTGTGACGTAGGCGCGGGACCCGAAGCTTGTTGTCTTGCAATACTTGCTTGACGTGCTGAAATCTGGCCGCCGAACTTCACTACGCCTACGTCACAGTGACCGAGTGAAGCCGGCCTTAGTCGAGCGTGTACCTGCTGTACTACCATATGTCAGAGGAGTCACAGACAAGGTTGGCTACATCTTGAAGCGAGCTTCTATTAAAACATACTACAAGCCGCCGAAGAAGATTAGTCAATTTTTACCATCCGTCAAGTGTAATATCCCTCTACAAGATGCAGGAGTATACAAGTTAGATTGTGAATGTGGTCTCTCTTACATAGGTCAAACAAAAAGATCCATAAAAACCCGCGTGAAAGAACATATAGCTGACGTGAAGCACCGACGCTCCGGGAAGTCTGGAGTCTGCGAACATGTTCAAGATCGTCCCCACCATTACATTCGTTTTGATAAACCACAAATTCTCGCAAAAGAACACAGATTCCTACCAAGGATGATACGCGAGGCTATTGAAATTAAAAAACATCCAAATTTCAATAGAGAAGATGGATGGGTGCTGCCACCTGCTTGGGATCCTATAATTAACAAAATTAAACCGAAACCTAAGCATACCGCTGCAAGACTTCATGATACTATAAGCTCGTTTTGCGTAAATCGGACCAAAAATTAATATTCAAAAACTGAAGGTAGCCGGACTAACTATGACATTGGGACGTCAAACATCTCAGTGCCCCCCCGTGACCATGGTTGCTGTAAAGCACCCGAAACGTCGGGAATTAAAAATAAGTAAAAGTAGTGGAATCATTTCTTTGACGAATAGATGTCATCATAAGGGAAGGCGTCTTCAATACAGTTTCTATAAAACAAGTAGAAAGTAAATACAAATTAAACTCAAAAATGCTTGTTTCTAAATGTCTTACGTGGTAGAGCCACGCTGCAGCTATATTATGATTGTAGCACGAATGGTCGACTCGACCGGGGAAGGACCACGATCTCACAGAATAGCAACTTAATACTGCTTTGTTTCGTATGGTGAATGTAGAGATTCGGAAGCCCTTTTTTACTGGAAACAAAGCATTCCATCTTAGTCGTTAGGGGTGACAACGCATCTGCATTTTTATTCTTAATCGAGGATAAATTTAGGTCTTTGGGCCACAGCATCCACTTACCATCATGTGGACTGTGTACTCGTTTGTCACCCTTATTATATAAAAGAAGTGAAAATATACTTTTAAGCTAATTGCAGTCAAACACTGTGCTTAGTTTGAAAATACATAAATATAATTCACAAAGAAAACAAGCAATAAGTTCATTATAAACTACAACAGTTAATAATTAAGATTTAACTTGAAATATGCGTAATTAAAACAAACACTCCAACCTGAAGTTACAAAAGTACCGACTGCCTTTATTAATAATTATTATATTGAATTTATTATCAACAGTTTGAATTAAATATGAACGTACAATGTAAATTTATTATAGCTAGTTATAATTTGCTGTGCATAATTTTGAGGAGAGGTAGGAATTTGCTAATAAATTCGTTCATTCGATAGTCTAATCACTCTAAGAAGAATATAAATTACGATTTTAGTAATTCTGAAACATAAAATAGCACTCCCGCTGCAAATAAAATTTACGTACATATTATAATTTAATTCTTAAACGAAGATCTTTATAAGAATAATTTTCGGTTTACGCTTCTTAAAATTTCCAGTAGTAGTAAATTGAATTAATTGCCTTAATACGTCCCACTGCAAGATTAAAGTTTTCTCCCAATTCTGTATTTGAAATAACAACCATTTAACATCAGGTGAATTGTGCTCGTTTCTAACTTTTATCCTATAAAAAAAATGTAAAAGCGTCTGCACCACGCCGCTCCACTACGAATGGCGTACTTTCATTCATATTATTTAATTCACACACAAGTCAGTTATACCGTCATCTTTTGGAGGCTATTGTCATTTGTGATGTGAAGTGAGCTTAGCTCAGCGGTCAGCCGCCGTAGAGTCTACATCACCTGAAGATGCCTCCTGTAGAGGCGAAACACGTGTCGTATTATCTTCGATGGTGTGTCTTCCTGGAATAGTGATGTTGGGAGTAGTGGTCCCGGGAGTAGTGGTGCTGGGACTAGTGGTGACGGGATTAGTGCACGCAATTGAGGGAGGGCGGGAGGTGTTCTTCAATCCGGGTAAGACACATCATTGTATTTAATTAAGCGGATGGTTGCGAATTAAATATTAATATCTTTATTATAATTAATTTTCGCTAAGTAACGCCTGACTCTGTCAATTACCAAATTTTCAAAAGGAAAGGCACGTGTGTGAGAGAAGTAATTACTTAATTTTTTTTTTATAAAAACTAACAGCGGATTTAAAAAATTAAAAAGAATAAAATTATCATATAATAACTTCTAAAGTTATATATAGTGTACAGAATATATAGTGACATAGTGTTTGGAAGATTTAAAACCTGTACTTCATCCTTTTCTGAACTCGGTTAAAAAAAAGTTTGAATCTGGAACATGTGAACCGTTACTAGTGCAATTACAGCCTATTAAAGTCCATTGCTGAACATATGTCTCCCCCATAGATTGACTCAAAGGGGGATTTGCCATAGTTGCCAGGCTTGGCAAGTGCGTTGGCAACCGCAGTTTTTTTAAGTCATTATTAGGAAGACGCTGCTGGCCATCTCCTAATTTGTTTTCCTCTGTGACCGTGTAGTGGCGGTGTATGAATATTCACTACTCCATATCATCCCGTGGGTGAACATGTGAACAATTCTTATAAAATCGAAACGTCATAGCTGTACATAGGTTGCATTAGCGTTTGTACTTTTACATTTTTATCATCATCGTTATCACCGAGAAAATAGTTTTTTTAATCTATTAACGATGAATACTGATAGTGATCTTAACGCTACCAATGTTCCCGTTAACCAGTTATCGAATTGTGAATTAGCACTAGAGTTGCCAGATGGTCGGGATTTGTCCGGATTCTCCCAACATTTCAAATCATCTCCAGACTCCCGACACAACTCAAAATCTGACAAATAGCTTCACACAAATTAACAAAAACAAAATTCAAAAGTTAACGTATGGAATTTGATTTAATAAAAGCTGAGTTATTAATTATACTGAACTTTGAAGTAAATTGTTTGAAATTAAAATCTTTTCTATATACTACTAAAGTATCCAATTTGGTATATTATAGTCTAATGACAAATACGTCTGGCAACCTAAAAATTAAGTGTACTTAAATTTGTTTTGCTTAAAGTATTTTTTGTGGCCTCTTAATTAAAAAATAAATGTTTTATTTTTAATATTTATTTCTAAACTCCACCCTTCTCCCCTGGCTTGTAAGGGCTGTGATGATGATGATGATGATGATGATTTATTTCTCCCAATAACTAGGCCCAAAATCCTGACATTTTCAAAATTTGTCCAGATATTTTGGTCTTTAGATCTGGCAAACCTAACTAGCACCCAGAAAGTTTGAATTTCCCTGATCGTACCATTAACCATTTGGCCACGGTCGCTTAGTTCAAAGCTCGATGAATATCATACACAAAGGAGTATTGTGGCTTCCATGCGCCTACTACAATTGTAACAAAGTATCGCTAAGCGTGGGCCTTCATAAGCTTAGTCGGTGTCAATTCGAGATTCGTATAGAAAACATCATATATTTGTGAGAGGCTTACACCATACGTTTGACTGAGCAAACTTTTTACAACGAACTATTTTACTATTTTACGCAGTAAAAGACGTCTAGCACCT